GGATTAATTGATATTTCTGAAAGCCCTGAAACATAAAGCCATATGGTCATTCTGTTTTGTAAAGCAATTTCAACAACGATCCGTAAACCGGAAGTAGTCGAAATAATGTCGGGAATTTTGAAAAAAACGTAAAAAATGAGTGCTTTTCAGAAAAACGTGATTTCTCCGTCCGATATCAACGGATATAACAAATTAATGTATCGTTGGATGGCTCGGGGAATGGACTGTTGTATGATGCCCGATTTATACGGATACTATGAACAGGCAGCAAAATATGGCATGCTGAAAATCAAGTATTTTCTGATTTGGAGCGTTTTTGGACGCCTGTATCTCGAAAACTGCTCCAAGGATTTTTCTTAAACTTTCCCTATCGAGAGTCCCTCCGGTAGTCTTGTGCATGAATCCATCCAATAAGACATTGAAATGTCTGGAATAGGTAAATTAACGTACTCAAAATCGAAAAAAGTTGAAAAATCGTGAAATTTTGGAAAATGCTCTATTTCTTTATTATTTAAACAAATTTTTACAAAAAAGTTACACATTCAGATAGCTGACCTAATTACAATTCTAACGATGTATAATATTTATTGAAATATTTAAATTTAATATTCGATATATTGACATTTTTGCATTTTTGCCCCTATTGAACATAGGATTTTTCAGGGGCATTTTTTCTGACCAGACAATGTAATATATCATTACATAGCCCTGTGGCTATTTGATAAGCCAGTCCGGTTATTTAAACTATCCCAACAATAATCTCCATACCGGAAGTATTCAAAAAATGAAGAAAAAGGGTTAAAAAAAATAGCACTCTTGCGAAAAACTTGATTTCTCCATCAGATGTTAGGGGACCAAAAGAACTACAGTTTTGCTGGATAGCCCCATTAATGGACTATCATATGACATCTGAATGATACGATTTAGATGGCTAGAAAATAAAATATGGTACGCCGAAAATCTCGTATTTTCCGTTTTGGAGCATTTTGAGACGCCTTTTTCTCGAAAACGAACACTACAATTTTTCTTAAACTTTTTTTACTCAGAGTACTATCGGTGGATTATGGCGTGAGTCCAAAAATAAAAGCATTGAAATAATATAAGGTGTCCAACAAGAGCCTCAATCTTGGAAAAAAGTTGAAAAATCCTTAAATTACTGAAAATACTCTACCATTTTTCTTTCTTTGGAAAACAACTTGTTAAACAACCAAACAACTTGTTAAAATTATCCTGACAATGATCCAAAAACCGGAAGTAGTCGAAAAAATATCCGATATTTTGAGAGAAAAAACCAAAAAAGTAAAAAAATGTTGATCTTGCGAAAAAAGTGATTACTACGTAAGATTTCAAAACAACTAAAGTGTCATTGGATAGCCCGAACAATGGACGATCGTATGACATCTAAATGGTAAAAATTCGCTGGTTAGGCAATATACAATGGGACGCTGAAAATCTAGTATTTTCATTTTTGGGGGCTATTCAGATGCTTTCCCGAAAACTTTTCTTTTTTCCTAACGGTGGTCTAGGGTATGAATCCAAATTTAAAAGCCTCAATATAGTATAAATGGTCCAAAGAAGGCCACAATCTTTGAAAAAAGTTGAAAAATCGTTATATCTTTTTCTAATGGTCTAAGGGAGATAAGACATTGGCATCAGACTACCAATTATTTGCTAAATATTGTTAAATATCTTCTAATTTTCCTTTCTTTTAAAAACTGAATAATCTTGTATTCTCGCCCTGTTTCTTCGCACTCTCGCCCTCGACTTCTCGAGGCGAGAAGTCAAGATTACGAAATGGCCGCAATAGGTTTCCATAAATTCATATGTATGGCCCTTGTTTCACTTGTGAATGAAAAAAGTGATCATCTGATCTGTACTAAATTTATTTGCATTATTGAAATTAGAACCTTCTGAATGCTTTAATGAACAAAGTGATCATCCGATCTGTATCAAATTTATTTGTTTTATTCAAATTAGTGCAATGAAGAGGCCTGTTGAATTTCAACATTTTAAATTTATTACTTCTAGAGTTATTGCCCTTTTTATACGCCCACATAGAAATGTGGACGTACATTGCTGTCCGTCGATCCGTCCATCCCTCCATCGTCTACAATTACTTGTGAACGATTTAACGCCAAAGGTTATCATCCAGTTGATATATGTTGTTTACATTAGTGAGATGAAGAAGCCTATTTAATTTCAATAATTTCCGTCAATAACGTCTAGATTTATGGCCCTTGTTTCACTTTCTTGAACCTTGTGAACGCTCTAATGCCAAAAGTTAACATCTGATCTTTGTGAAATTTATATGCAATATTTAAATTAGGGAAACGAAGAAGCTTATTGAATTTCAGCAGTTTCAGTTTATTACATCTAGAGTTATGGCCCTTGTTTCACTTTAATTGTTGAACGCTCTAATGCCAAAAGTTGGCATCCGATCTTTGTGAAATTTATATGCAATATTTAAATTAGGGAAACGAAGAAGCTTATTGAATTTCAGCAATTTCAGTTTATCACATCTAGAGTTATGGCCCTTGTTTCACTTTGTTGAACGCTCTAATGCCAAAAGTTGGCATCCGATCTTTGTGAAATTTATATGCAGTATTAAATTAGTAAAACAAAGAAACCTATTGAATTTCAGCAATTTCTGTTTATTACATCTAGAGTTATGGTCCTTGTTTCACTTTATTGAACTTTGTGAATGCTCTAACATCAAAAGTTATCTGCCGATCTCTATGAAATTTACATGCGTCATTTAAATTAGTAAGGAGAAGAATCCTATTGAATTTCAGTAATTTCCGTTTATTACTTCAAGAGTTGTTGCCCTTGTTTCACTTTGTTCAACCTTGTTAATGCTCAATTGATGAAAGTTATCACTCGATATGTATGAAATTTATATGCATCATTTAAATTTGTGAAACGAAAAAGCCTGTCACATTTCAACAATTTCTGTAGATTACTTCCAGAGTTGAGACCCTTGTTTCAATTTGTAGAACCTTGTGAACCCTTAAACGGCAAAAATTATAATCTGATCTGTATGGAACTGTCTTGTAAAGGCCCCCAATTACCTACAAAGGAATAAATATGCGACAACCCTTGTCAACCGCTTGAACGATTTAGCCGCTGTGGGCGTATGTTTCGTTGCCTGGCAACCTATCTTTCACTTTATTGAACCTTGTGAACGCTCTAACATCAAAAGTTATCTGCCGATCTGTATGAAATTTGCATGCGTCATTTAAATTAGTAAAGAGAAGAATCCTCTTGAATTTCAGCAATTTCCGTTTATCACTTCTTGTAATGCTCGATTGATGAAAGATATCATCCAATATTTATGAAATTTATATGCGTCATTTAAATTTATATGCATCTTTTGAATTTCAGCAATTTCCGGCGATAATTTGTAGAGTTATGGCGGTTGTGAACCTTGTGACAAAAGTGATCATCTAATCTGTATGAAATTTATATGCATTATTTAAATAAGTAAAATGAAAAAGCCTGTGAAATTTCAAAAATTTCTGTAGATTACTTCCAGAGTTGAGACCCTTGTTTCAGTTTGTAGAACCTTGTGAACCCTCAAACGGCAAAAATTATAATCTGATCTGTATGGAACTGTCTTGTAAAGGCCCCCAATTACCTACAAAGGCATAAATATGCGACAACCCTTGTCGACCGCTCGGACGATTTAGCTGCTGTGGGCGTATTTTTCGTTGCCTGGCAACCCATCTTTTCACTTTGTAGAACCCTGTGAATGCTTTTGCAACAAAAATTATCATCTGATTTGAATGAAATTTATATGGTATTATTTAAATTAGTGAAACAAAGAATCCTATTGAATTTCAGCAATAAGATTTTGCCTTGTGGACTTCTAGGACATCTGTTTTGTTTGCCTGATAATGTATCTGTTATAAAATATTAGCTTTAGATTATTAGCTAGTCTTTATTATTGTAAGATATAAATATTTAGATAAACCATACATTCCACCTTTTATGAAATATTAGCTTTAGATTATGTTAATTAACTAGTCTTTATTATTGTAAGATATAAATATTTAGATTAACCATATATTCCACCTTTTTCTTTTATTTGATTTAGAAATAGAAAATGCATGCTTACTCTTCCGGACACCTGTTACCACTGTTTGTCGTGTATTTTGTACACGAGGAGCAGTCCATTTGCTGATTACACTATTTTGCTTGAATACACTATTTTGCCTATAACGTTTTTTAGGACTTCGAATTCTGTCTGATGGTTTGGATTGTTCGTACTTGGTTTTATTTTATTTATATGTAGTAATAGTATTAGAACTATGAATTCTTACAGATTTGTAAGAAATGACAAGAATATTCATCCTGTCTTTTATTAACCAATGCTTTTCAATGATTGCCTAGAAAACTTTGCTATGTAATACGTCCACATTGAAGTGTTTATATTTTTGACTCGACACATTGAAATTTATTCACCCATGTCAGTCTTCCGTCCACATTTGGTTTACAGGCTGAAGTAGTTATCAGCCAATTGACATGAAATTTATACGCAGTGTTTATGTTCATGAGCCGCAGTGTTTATGTTCATGAGCCGTAGAAAGTATATGTACTTAAACAACGATTTCTGTCAGAGTTATATGGTGTTTGATAACCTTTGTGGACTGCTCGGGTGAGGTAGCTGCTGTGGGCGTGTTTCATTACTTGGTGACCTAACTTTATTCTTTTAAATGTTTGGTTGGACACCTGAGTTTGCTTTAGATATGTTTGTTCTCTATTCACGATTTCCTTACTTTCTTGGGTACTATTTCAGTTGCCGTGATCGTAGAGACTTGAAATTTTCAGGGGGTGCTAATGGGGGGCTAGTTATGACCTAACACCAGTTTTCAGCCCAATCGGTCAATAACTTTTTATTTTACCGTAGTTTAGCTTCTAACAAGAGAAAGTTTATCTGATTTTGACGCTACTGAAATAGTTATTACCCTTTCTTGAAGTTAATTCTTATATCTATTTCATAGGCGCGCAAGTTATGTAGACAAGTACGTCTTGAGAAAAAAATATCTGAAGCAGCTAGCATTATCCAGAAGTACTTCAAGGGTTGGAGAGTGCGTAAACACTACAGGAGTAAATTCAGAGCAAAGGCTGGACCCAAGATTGCCAAATTTATGAAAATAGCTGTGGTAAGTAATCACAATACTATAACTAGAATTGAGATGCAGTGATGACGGGTTTCACCAATGCCGCGTTACCCTTGAACTGACGCCACTTCTGGTACCAATTAAACAGATTTCCACATGAGCATTGCATGCATGATATAAAATGGACGCAGAATTAGCCAATCAATCCAGCAATATCAGTTCCATTTATACAACGAAGACTCAACACGATGACATCACTTCCTTTATCAACAAAATTTTTAAATTGGATTACACATATTACCACTTCGCTTGTCCTTAGCATGACAGAAAATTGAATAAAATTTGAACAGAATGAATCCTTTAAAAGTGATCTGGGCAAAATTGGTTATTTCTTGGCACAGGAAGATGTTAGAAACATTTTTATACACCCACATGGAAATGTGGACGTACATTGCCGTCGCCCCCATCCGTCCGTCTGTTGTTTACATTAGTGAGATGAAGAAGTCTATTTAATTTCAATCAATTCCGTTAATTACTTCTAGAGTTATGGCCCGTGTTACACTCTGTTGCACCTTCTGAATGCTCTAACAGGGAATATGATAAGCGGTATTGCATCGCAGTTTTCTGAACAAAAACGACGTAAGTGCGAATCAAATATTAAATTGATTAGCAGAAAGTTATCAAATTTAAGGGAATCTGCGAACAAAGTTTCTTGTCCCAAACTAAGCGTGAAAAAATGTTTAACAAATGTGATTTACTGTTCCACTGAGTACGGACATTTTAATCCCCTTGATGTTGCTTGCTCGATGAGATTAAAAGTAGTCAAAGATTAGTCAAAATAAACTAACTGTAAGCTAACAGTCATTCAGGTCACGATCTAACCAAAAAATTAGTACAAACGTTAAATTTGATAATCCCGTAAATATACAAGCTCAATAATTATTCACAAAACAATAATTTTTATCTGTAACCATTTCCCTTCATTAGAATTTACCGCGTGTACCCATCTGGCATTCTATTTGCCATCACACAATATTTTAATAATTTTCCATTCACTGAACAAGAAAATATTCCATTGGCTATAATTAAGCGAAAAATGTATCCACTGTTATAGCTATACACACTAGTTTAAGTTTTATTCGTCTAACAAACTACTTTGCGACTAAAATGGCACTTGGTTCATTTTGGCCGGAAAATAGGTCACGTAGACAAATAACAACAACATGGCGACAATGCATGCATTGCATACGGTTGTCGAACTGTCGATGCTACTATGTAATTTTAACATACCGTTTTATAGCGAAGACAATGTTTGATGTCACAAACTTTTCTTATCACAGATATTTTGCTTTCATTTTATGCCATATAAATGAAGACAAATAATTTTGGAGGAATCTTACTGGCGTAAATTTGAAGCAGGTACACAATATGCTACATAACATTAATATAAAACTATTCGTAGTAATTGTACTTGAAGTCTATTAAAGGGAATGAAAGCCCCCCATACACACATAAACATTAGTTGTATATCTGTAGAAATTATGGCCTATAGAGATCGTTTAATACAAAGCCATGAGGAACTGCTCATCAATTTATGTGTCATTTAGATTAGTAACAAGAAGAATCCTATTGAATTTCAGCGATTTTTGTTTATTACATCTAGAGTTAGTGCCCTTGTTTCACTTTGTTGAACCTTGTGAACGCTTTAACGCCAAAAATTATCCGACCTTTATGAAATGTATAATATGCATTATTTAAATTAGTGAACAGAAGAAGCCTATTGAATTTCAGCAATTTCCGTTTATTACATCTAGAGTTATGGCCCGTGTTTCACTTTGTTGAACGCTCTAATGCCAAAAGTTGGCATCCGATCTTTGTGAAATTTATATGCAGTATTAAATTAGTAAAACGAAGAAACCTATTTAATTTCAGCAATTTTCGTTTATAACATCTAGAGTTATGGCCCTTGTTTCACTTTTTTTAACCTTGTGAATGTGCTAACGACAAAAATTATCATCCGATCTGTATGAAATTTATATGCATCATTTAGATTAGTGACACAACGAAACAATAATTACTTCTAGAGTTATGGCCCTTGTTTCACTTTGTTCAACCTTGTTAATGCTCGATTGATGAATTGAAATTTATATGCATTATTTAAATTGGTAAAACGGAGGTCTATTGAATTTCAGCAATTTCCGTCAATTACTTCTAGACTTATGGCACTTGTTTTACTTTGTGAACGTTCGAATGACAAAAGTTATCATCCGATCTGTATGAAATTTATATGCATTATTTGAATTAGTAAAATGAACAAGCCGGTCAAATTTCAACAATTTCTGTAAATGTGATAGAATACATAACTCTTTTTATTACAAAGATTTTTATATGCCCACATTTTCATGTGGACGTATATTGTCGTCGCCCCTGTTTGTCCTTCCGTCCGTCCGTTCGGACGTCCGTCCACAATTTGTTTGTGGACACTCTACAGGTCACAATTTTTGTCCGATTTCAACGAAACTTGAAATATAGCTTTATCTCCCTAAGATCTCGGTTTCTTTCGATATTGGCATGTATCAGACCATAACTTCATGGATTATACGGGTTGTTTTCTGCATTTTGCTTTAAATCAATATTTAATCAACAGCATATTCTTTGCATAGAATGAAGGCATCGGGTGTTTTCGCCAATATTTAATTTTATGTCAACTTCACAATTATTAGTATAAAAATAGCATTTACTTGACAATTATCACAGTTTTCATCTGGCCCTAAATTGAGTTAGTGCAGACTTTTTATATGCCCACATTGAAATATGCATGCATATGCATGATTTAAATTAGTGAAACTAAGAAGCCTATTGAATTTCAGCAATTTCCATTAATTAAGTCTAGAGTTATGGCCCTTGTTTCACTTTATTGAACCTTGTGAATGCTCTAATGCCAAAAGTTAACATCCGATCTTTGTGAAATTTATATGCAATATTTAAATTAAAGAAATGAAGAAGCTTATTGAATTTCAGCAGTTTCAGTTTATTACATCTAGAGTTATGGCCCTTGTTTCACTTTAATTGTTGAACGCCAAAAGTTATCACCCGATCTTTGTGAAATTTATATGCATGATTTAAATTAGTGAAACGAAGAAGTCTATTGAATTTTAGCAATTTCCGTCAATTACTTCTAGAGTCATGGCCCTTGTTTCACTTTGTTGCACCATGGGAAGGTTCTTAACGCTCTGCTGATTTGTATGAAATTTACATGTGTCATTTAAATTAGTCAAGAGAAGAATCCTATTGAATTTCAGCAATTTCCGTTTATTACTTCTAGAGTTATGGCCGTTGTTTCACTTTGTTGCACTTTGTGAACGCTCTAACTTCTAAAGTTAACTGCCGATCTGTATGAAATTTATATGTGCCATTTAAATTAGTCAAGAGAAGAATCCTATTGAATTTCAGCAATTTCCGTCAATTTTTTGTACAGTTATGACCCTTGTTTCACTTTGTTGCACCATGGGAACGCTCTAATGCTCTGCCGATCTGTATGAAATTAGTCAAGAGAAGAATCCTATTGAATTTCAGCAATTTCCATTTATTACTTATGCATCATTTAAATTTGTGAAACTAGAGGTCTATTGAATTTCAGCAATTTCAGTCAATAATTTGTAGAGTTATGACGATTGTGAACCATGTGAACGTTTGAATGACAAAAGTGATCATGTGATCTGTATGAAATTTTATATGCATTATTTAAATTAGTAAAACGAAAAAGCCTGTCAAATTTCAACAATTTGTGTAGATTAGTTCCAGAGTTGAGACCCTTGTTTCAGTTTGTAGAACCTTGTAAACCCTCAAACGACAAAATTTATAATCTGATCTGTATGGAACTGTCTTGTAAAGGCCCCCAATAACCTACAAAGGAATAAATATGCAACGTCCATTGTCGACCGCTCGGACGATTTAGCTGCTGTGGGCGTATGTTGCCTGGCAACCTATCTTACTCTTCTTTACTACACTTTACTAGGATCTGGAAGAGTTGTTACCGGCATTCTGGTTGATATGAGGGATTAACCCTATATAGATCTGCATTTGGATCAGATTGTACAGTGAAGTCACTCCGTCATTTGAACACTACGGCATTCTTTGAAATCCGTCCTCATTTCCATGTCCCGATTTATTTCCTTGTTACTTCAACCCAAAAAGTTTTGAGTAGACCGTATTCTGAATATATTCCGAATTACGACATCAATCAGCGTTCCCTTCACACAATTTGCGTTGAATTAACATTGAATAATCAGTGGGTGTTAACCAACAAGCAATCTATTATTGGTGAGCTTAAAACACGTGTCGGTCTTTGTTGATTACCTTGATAATTTTAAAATTGATATATTTGACTGCATATATCAAAATGAGTCGCAATGCGCAAAATCTAATTTTGGACTAAAGACAAAATAAGTGAAAATATTGATTTTGATGGAAATTGAGATTTTCAAAGAAAGGAGTCTATAAATATAATATCTATCGACACAAAAAGATTAAAATAGCAATAAAAGTTTTTAGAGCACCTTTTTTTGATCGTTTTGTAAGAGTACCGTATTCTTAAATCTGTCCTATCTGTTATTTTTCATCGCTCGCAGCGGGACGACTGATCATTCCTCTTGCATAATAATTGGCATCGTTGTAAAGCGGAGAATCTCTAGTTTACAAATATGATCAAAATATTGTTGATGAATTGATTTTGAACAATCGAGTTTTAAAACACCTAAAAAAATATAAACAAACTCCGCTTGTTGCTATGCTGTTTACACAACTCGTTTGCTGATTGGTCCAGACACCATGTATAAAGCATTATGGTTACGTGGCTGGCTTGAGCGGGTGGGTACCTACATCTGATTCTCTCTGATAAGTGGCAGAACAAAATTAATTCTGATCGTATATAGATTGCCGTTGAGTGTTAATCAAAACCATTAGGCTGATTATGTAAATTAATTGACAAGCGGGTGTGTGTCATTGAGTAATACTAATCAGCTGTCACAGGTCAATGATAA